CTCACCACCCTCACACCAAAGAACTTCTTCCCCAGATCCCACCTAAATCTCCCCAATTTTTTGGTTGAAAACCCTTCCCCGTCATCCTATGGCTCCCCTTCCTGATCAAGAACCCCCCTCCAGCTTTCCTGGAGCCCCTTGAGGGACTGGAAGGGGCTCTAAGGTCTCCCCAGAGCCTTCTCTTCTCCTGGCTGAAGGCTGCTCTGCTTGGTTGGAGAAAGGAGAGGTGGAGCTGGAAATCACAGTGTGATTTAGGTGAGACCCATCGCACCGGCCTCGAGCACTGAAGGAGGCTGTGGAGCCACATTCTGGGGAGCAAATTGCGGTTTCCCTGAGTGAAGCTGCACGGAGTTTGCAGCAGGAACAAAAGGGAGGCGTGTGCCAAGGGCGCTGGAGCAGAAAGAGCCCACAGGAGTGATGTCAAATCCTCAGCAAAGCTGTTTGTTTAGGAAAGAAGGGAGGATTTCAGCCCGTTCAATTTCTCCAACGGAAGACTCAGAGGCTGGCAATTTAACATTAACAGAGGGATCACACCAGGTTCAGGAGAGCTGTTTAAGAGCTTCGGAAGTGGGCAGTGGCAGAAGACTAAAGACGCCAATTAAACAACTTCAAATTAGAGGTAAGGCTCTGAGATATAGCGGGAGGGTTCCTGTTGCAAGGCAACAAACTGTGCCGAGGTGCCAACCTTTGGAACAAGTGAATCTGTCGGATCAGCCAGCCCTTGCCTTGCTGGAGGAGCCACGTTCCCGTCGTTGAGATAGAAGGCTGAAGAGCTGCGTCATTCTCTTGAGCTTTACAGCCCTGGTGACACAGGAAGTAGGACTAAACAAACCCATAAACCTTCTCCATAGATAACCCCCTCATCCTCATCTGGCTCGTTCCTGCATCAGGTGTTGGTGTTCGGTGCCTGCATTCGGGGCAGGAAGAGAAGAGGTTCCCTCTGGACCGGTCTCTGTCTTCACAGGAATTATTGAGGAGCTGGAAATTGTTATTAATAAGACTCCTTAGATCCTGAATCACGGAATCCCAGAATGATATGGGGTGGGAAGGAACCTCTGGAGATCATCTAGTCCAACCTCCCTTCCAGAGCAGGTCCCACCCAGAGCAGGTTGGATTCATCCAGGGGGGTTTGAATGTCTCCAGAGAAGGAGACCCCACCACCTCCATGGGCAGCCTCTTCCAGGGCTCTGCCACCCTCAAAGTCAAGAAGTTCCTCCTCATGTTGAGATGGAACTTCTTATACTCAACTTTGTGCCCATTTCCTCTTGTCCTGTCACTGGGCACCACTGGAAAAAGCCTGGCCCCATCCTCCTGACACCCACCCTTGATGAGATCCCCCCTCAGCCGTCTCTTCTCCAGACCAAAAAGCCCCAAGTCCCTCAGCTTTTCCTCATCAGAGAGATGCTCCAGGCCCCTCAGCATCTTTGTAGCCTTAAAGGGGGAGCATCTTCAGCTGCAGGGGTGGGTGCGAGTGCTGCTTGTGTTGACGTTGCTTTTGGGTGGTGTTATCAAGCAAAACAGCTTGACGGTGTCATCCTGAGCACCCCCTGAGTGCCCCGTCCTCCTTTTGCAAAACCCCAGTCATGAGACCACCAAAACACTGCTCGTCATTAGGACACTAATGAATTCATGACTCAGTGGGGAAGCACTTTGGAGCAGCGCTCTCCAACCGGGACCGTGCTGTGCAAACACAAAACCTGGGGGCACTCCCTGCTCCAGAAAGCTTCGAGTCCAAACATCGCATTCCGAACACGAGAGAGCACACGGGTTGGACAAGATGATCTTTAAGGTCCCTTCCAACCTAGAAGATTCTGTGATGATTCTGTGGGATAGCGAGGGAGGATGTGGAAACAGGAGACTGATGATCTGAAAGGTCCCTTCCACCCTGGACAATTCTACAATTCCATGTTCTTAGTGCACAATTTTGCTCATCTGCAGAAATTTCTTTGTTTTCCACTACATCATGACCATTATTTTATTTTTTTCCCTGCTTTCTGGGCTGGAACCGAGAGCTCGGTTCCTTTTCCCAAGGATTTGTGGAGGGATTTAGCATTTGTGACCCTTTTCCAGCTTCCGCTGTGTTGTGACTGTTATTTTTTTAAATTATTTTTCCACTTTCTGGGCTGGAATTGAGACCTCGGTTCCTTTTCCCAAGGCTTTACGGAGGGGTTTATCATTTGTAGACCCTTTGCTGGCTTTGTGAGCGTTGGGGCTGCTCCTGGGTGGGCAGCGACAGGGCTGTGACGCCGAGCACGGCAGTGGGATGTCAAAGATATCACTTTCCCAAGTGATACGGAGTCTTCTGAAGCCCCGCAGGACGTTCACGTGGGGCTTGGAGGTATTTACCCGTCCCTGCGGTTGTGAAACTCTGCGGGGTTACCATGGCATCCCAACAACACCAGCAAACTCTGCTTAGGACACCTCTGGGTGACCGGATCCTGCTCTGGCTTAACCTGACTTGAAACTGGATTATTTCAAGGGGGAATATTCACTCTGCAAGGACTCGTTGTCCATAGTGGGGAGTGGTGAGACTGAGAGCTGGGGACCCCATAGGGAGAAGGTGGAGGAGGCTTTTCTGGGTCTCTCCCATCCTGGCACAGAAAGGAAAGGCTGGACTTTGAATGGGAGACAGACTCATCCTTGCCTAAAATCAGTGGTGCTGCACGGCAGCAATTAAGATTAGAAAAATGGCTTTTCATTGATCTGATCCCTGATAGCCCAGAGCAGGGTGAAGTTCAGCTCTTGTAGTGCTGAACTGGTGTTTCTGCTGGGGCTGCAGGGAACAGCGTTGCCTTTATGGTGGTTTATCCCCTGAGTTTTACCTGGCTGGGCTGCAAAAAAAAAATAGAAATAAAAATCCCTGTCCGCTGATAGAAAGGAGTTGAAGCTGGAAAATCTGATTTAAAAAAAAAAAAAAAACAAAAAACACAAACCAACAAACCTGATAAAATTCAGTGGTCGGGTCTTGCTTTGGTGGGAGTTATTTTTGTGTGACTGAGGCTAAAATCCCGCTTTCAGCTTTAATCCCTGACTTCCCAAGACACCCCGGAGCTGTTTTAAGAGAGCAGCCTCTCTCTTTCTTCCATCTTGGAAGGACCTGGAGGCTGTGCGTGGACGAAGTGAACCCCGGGCTGTCCACATCAGCCACGGCCAAGTACAGCTGGGTGTGCACAACGCGCAAATTTACTTTACACTCAATAGATTGTTATTTATTTAATATTTTTTTTTGCTGGTGAAAGCCAAACTGGGAGGAATCTCGCCTCGTATGTCTCTGCCTGGCTCCAATCTCTCCCTTACCCTCCTTCGAAAGGAGAATTTCCTTGTGGTCGCCGGGTTCTTTGGCCAACTCTTGTTCTTCCCGCAGAGAAGGAAGTGCATGTTTTGGAGGGGCTGTGGCCCAGGACACGCAGCCGGTGCTGTCTTGCTGCCCTGATGAGGGGCAGAGCCAAAGGGTGACACATTCAGGGAATTTATGACCCTATAATAAAAAGATCTGTCCCTTTGAGGCTGTTGTTTATAAATGCAGAATGCCCATAAAATGAACTTTTTCTCTTCTGCACGGGAACCCAGAAATTGATGTGGAAACTTCTCCTGCTGCGTTTTGAGGGTGGGCTCACCCGCTGGGTATTCCCCTGTGCAGGGTGAGACCCACCTAAACCACCTTTATTTTAGCAGTAACAGTAGAGAGGAGGCAAAACCGTGGTGTCCAGGGCTGCCTGTGGCATCTCCCATTGCCCTGGGTGCTGCTGGCAGAGCACAGCGTGTGTCCAGGGCTGACACTGGCTTTGGGTGGCATTAAACTTGGGGGGCCTTTAGGAAAGTTGGGGGGGGGACTCTTGATCAGGGAGGAGAGCCGTAGGATGAGGGGGAAGAGTTTGACACTGAAAGAGGGGAGATGGAGCTAAGATGTGGGGAAGAACTTCTTTGGTGTGAGGGTGGTGAGGGCCTGGCCCAGGTTGCCCCGAGAAACTGTGGCTGCCCCATCCCTGGAGGGGTTCAAGGGCAGGTTGGAGGGGTCTTTGGGCAACCTGGTCTCACTGAAGATGTCCCAGCCACTAGAAGGGATGGAACCAGATGAGCTTTAAGGTCCCTTCCAACCCAAAATGTTCTGTGATTCTCTGGCCATTCCACCACTTCCCTGGGTTGGAGGGGACCTTGAAGGTCATCGAGTCCATCCATCAACCCACCACTGCCCAACCCACCACTGCCCCATGGCCCTCAGCACCGGCTTTTAGATCCCTCCAGGGATGGTGTTTGGGGAGTGGAGCCATAGGACGAGAGGGAAGGGTTTTCAACCAAAAATTGGGAGATTGAGGTGAGATGTGGGGAAGAACTTGTTTGGTGTGAGGGTGGGGAGAGCCTGGCCCAGGTTGCCCCGAGAAGCTGTGGCTGCCCCATCCCTGGAGGGGTTCAAGGGCAGGTTGGAGGGGGCTTTGGGCAACCTGGGCTGGTGGGAGGTGGCCCTGCCCAGGGCAGGGGGTGACACTGGGGGGGCTTTAAGGTCCCTTCCAACCCAAACCATTCTATGATTCTATGAAAATGGGCTTAGCTGAAGCTCAGATCTCCTTTCTGCTGTTGCACGGGGGAGGTACCCAAACAGTTAAAAATCAATATATATCTCCTCCTCTTCTCATTTCAGCATCCATTTAGGAAAGCAGGGGAGAAACCCTGAGGAGATGGAGCTGGGACCTATCCTGTTGTCCCCCTCTGCCGCGGGAGCCCAGCAGAGCTTGTCCTTCAGTCCTTCACATCCCCTGGGGGCTGCAGATGTGGCAGGGACCGAGGGAGGTGGGAACAAAGCCGTGTCTGAACGCGGGGACACGGCGCCAGGTGTGTCCTGGCCCTTCCCTGGCCCTTCCCTCCTCTCCTGCTCCGATT